ATTGAGAGGGTGAGTAGCAGCAGGACAAGAGGGGATGGAGGAGAGGAGAGGTGAGAGGGAATGCTGCAGAGCAGCGGGCACTCACCGTTCTTGCCCGAGTCGAAGACCATCTCCTGCATGGCATTGGCGACTAGCACCTTCACGGGGCCGCTGTTGTCCGCCGGGATGGGCTCTGACTTCACCACCCGCTCCGCCTCGCCCGCCTGCACACACGCACACACGCACACATGCACACATGCACACATGCACACGCACACACACGCACACACGCACACATGCACACACGCACACATGCACACACGCACACGCGCACACATGCACACATGCACACGCGCACACACGCACACATGCACACATGCACACACGCACACATGCACACACGCACACATGCACACATGCACACACGCACACATGCACACATGCACACATGCACACACGCACACATGCACACGCGCACACATGCACACGCGCACACATGCACACACGCACACATGCACACACGCACACATGCACACGCGCACACATGCACACGCGCACACATGCACACGCGCACACATGCACACGCGCACACATGCACACGCGCACACATGCACACGCGCACACATGCACACACGCACACATGCACACGCGCACACATGCACACATGCACACACGCACACATGCACACACGCACACATGCACACACGCACACATGCACACATGCACACACGCACACATGCACACACGCACACATGCACACACGCACACATGCACACACGCACACATGCACACACGCACACATGCACACACGCACACATGCACACATGCACACATGCACACGCGCACTCATGCACACACGCACACATGCACACACGCACACATGCACACACGCATGCACCCCAGCATGATTTCGTTGCTCGTTTGATTGTTGTCTGCTTGTTGCCTTCCATTTTTCTCCACCCATCTACAAGCACGCGACCCTTAAGACTTCTTCAAGGATCTACTGCAACCAATTACAGCGCGCGCTGACCTTGAACTTGGCGATGAAGGCGCGCTGACCTTGAACTTGGCGATGAAGGCGCGCTTACCTTGAACTTGGCGATGAAGGCGCGCTGACCTTGAACTTGGCGATGAAGGCGCGCTTACCTTGGACTTGGCGATGAAGGCGCGCTTACCTTGAACTTGGCGATGAAGGCGCGCTTACCTTGGACTTGGCGATGAAGGCTCGCTTACCTTGAACTTGGCGATGAAGGCGCGCTTACCTTGAACTTGGCGATGAAGGCGCGCTTACCTTGAACTTGGCGATGAAGGCGCGCTGACCTTGAACTTGGCGATGAAGGCGCGCTTACCTTGAACTTGGCGATGAAGGCGCGCTTACCTTGAACTTGGCGATGAAGGCGCGCTGACCTTGAACTTGGCGATGAAGGCGGCGATGTCGGCGGGCTGGATGAGGCTCTTCACGAACTTGCCGTCCGACTCGGGGTCGTGGACGATAATCGCCGGCGTGTCCGCCGCCGTCAGCCCGAAGTACTGCGGCGAGGGGAAGGGGGAAGGGGGGGAGGGGGGGGAGAATGATGATTGCCGTCCGACTCAGGGTCGTGGACGATGATCGCCGGCGTGTCCGCCGCCGTCAGCCCGAAGTACTGCCCGGGGGGGAGGGGTAAGGGGGAAAGAAAGGGGGTGAGCGAAGAGCGGGGCGTTGAAGCATACGACGCACCATGCAAGAAGTCTCTGGGGAGAGAAGCAGCACCATGCAACGCGAGAATTACAAGGAGGATGAAATACCTTTCAAGCCGGGTACCTTGAGCGCGTGGTCGTTGATGGCGGCCTCGCCGATGACGAAGTGGATGGCGTCGGAGTGCGCCTTGGCTGCATGGGGGCACCTTGCACCTTGTGGAAGCTCACCTTGAGCGCGTGGTCGTTGACGGCGGCCTCGCCGATGACGAAGTGGATGGCGTCGGAGTGCGCCTTGGCCGCGCTCGAGTACTCCGCGCGGAAGTCCGCCGCGTTGTCCGCCTTGTACGAGAAGAACAGCAGCGCCTGCGCATGAACAAAGGTTTTGCCGCACAAGGAAGGCGCCACACGGGAGGCGCGACAGGGGAGACGGCACGTCAAAGGAGGCACAGGGAAGGCGGCACATGGCGAGGGGGCAAGACGGGAATTTGCGTCTGCAGGTGCAATGGCGAGCACGAGGGATGGGGAAAACGAGGGCACGTGAGGCGCGGGCGGCGTACCTTGGGCTTGCTGGATTCGAAGACCTTGGTGAGGAAGGTGCGGTCCTTGGGGTCCTGCGAGAACTCGATCACCAACGGCACCGAATGCTTCTCCACGAACGCCTTGAGCGCCTCCACCTCCACTGCCTGCACTCGCATGCCAATCGACAGCATGACAGCATGGGCAGTCAATGCACGAATATACAAGATATGTCAGGGCATGGGCATATTTTGAGGCGCTTCATAATTGGATCAAGCACCAGCGGCACGGAATGCTTCTCCACGAACGCCTTCAACAAAAACCATCTCAACCGTCTGCTCGCACACGCCCATCCACCACCCCCTTGTGCAACTCACGGTGGTGTCGGCGAAGCCCTCGTCGAACTGCTTGAGCACGCGCACGGCGGGCGCGGCGAGCGGCCCTCCGGTCTCCGGCAGCAGCGCGGCGTCGGTGGTGTGCACGAAGACATAGTCGGAGCGGAAGAGAGAAGCCACGGACGAGAACGCCTTGAACTCCTCGGACTCAAGGTCCTTGAACACGCCCACCTGTGCATGCAATGCAACACAAGCACAGTCCGTTAACTCCTGCTGATCACCCTCTCAATCTCTCAACCTCTCACCTCCCAGCCTCCCACCCTTCCTGCATCTCTCTCTCTCATCCTCTCATCCTCTCATCCTCTCATCCTCTCTCCCCTCAGCGTGCGAAACGGAATGGGCAGCACTAGAGAAAAAGAGGGTCGCAATCAGTGCGGAGCACATATTGGCGCTCGCGTTGATGCTCAGATTCCACTTTGGGTTCGAGTTCGCGTTGTTGTTCCCGTTCAAAATCGCTCGCGTTCTAATTCCCGTTCGAGTCGGCGTACCACGACGACGCTCTCAGACGCGGCGAGGTCTTTGATGTGCTCTGCGGACTTGGCCTCGCTCGTCGCCGGGCCGCTCTGCTTCTTCAAGTAGCTCACGATGCCATCGGCGTCGCGCGGCCCGTTGTAATCCTGCGGCGCATCCGAACCCCTGTGGAAGGAAAAAAAAAGGAAAAAGGATAAATAATACACGAATAAACGATGAGGACACCAAACAGATTCGTAACGGAAAGATCCGCGCAAAAACGGCGCGTACTTGCGGAAGATCTTGAGGGTGGGGAAGCCCTTGACATCGTATTTCTTAGCGAGGCCCTTGTTCTTGGAGTCGTCCGCATCGACCTTGGCCAGCTTCACTGCCGATCCCGCATCCGCAAGCGCCTTTGCTGCCTTCTCGTACTGCAACCACGAGAAACACGAGCATGCGGCGTGACTACAAAAGTTTTACTGAGACGCAAATTTTAGAGATTAGGCTCGAAGCGTACCTCTGGAGCCAGGTTCTTGCAGTGCCCGCACCTGCAATCGGGCCACGACCAGTCATTGAACAGACACGGTCGTTAGTGCGCTACCCTGCAATGCGAATACTTCGATAAATTGAAGGCTTCCTGTAGCGAGAAGTGTGAGACTAGAGCGTACCATGGCGCATAGAACTCGACAACAATAAACTCCTCGTTCGGGACCACCTCGTCGAAATTCGAGGAGTCAAGGGTAATCACATACTCCTTCCCCTCAACAAGCGCAAGAGGAACCAGCAGCAGAGCGCATAGCCCGAGGAGGCAAGATAAGGACGGCTGGGGAGCCATGGTGCTGAGATCTGGAAAAACACAGCCGTGTGTCTGGTGATTTCAAATCTGGTGCCTTCAGGATCTCCCAGAAAAATCTGCTTGAAGAAATGCTAAAAGGAGGCTTTCCGCTAGATTTGTGTGACCAAGTCCAGATGGCTATGCTTGCCGATCTTCCCGCACTGAGACGAACAGCGAGTAATGCACAACAGTGAGGTTCGCTATCGTTTCCAGTGGTAAATTTTTGAAATACCATAGCCACCAGCTAGTTAAGAGGAAGACAAGACACGTTCCTGAAAATCCTAAATTTTCAGCCCAAATTTGGATAGCTGGAACTCCTCTGAGAAAATGGTGGCATTGGCCATGCCTGGTAAAAGTATGATGCTTCCTTTATTCGGCCATGCGCTTGGCTGGGTGGATACCGTATCTCCTTAGCTAAGTCACTATGTGTGTCTTTGTCTCTTCTTGCGAGTGTATATCCATCTGTTTGACTAGACCCCTGCTTCCTTTGTTCGATGCGGTGACTTTTTTGTCCTGGTTTGATTGGGAGGTGCACCTTACCATACCTCACCGTACCTCGGCATCTTTCTGGGTACCTCAGATTACCATACAATACCTTAGCATGCACCACCCTTTTCATGCACTAGCAATCATCTATGTACGTATGCCCACTAATGCCATTACTGCTGCTAGTACTGTCCTATCCATAAATGCTACTACTGCTACTCCTGATGTTGCCATTCCTGTTGCCTTTTGTTGACCTGCAAAGGGCAGAAGGCGATGCGGAGAGGCTGGGACGTCAGTGGGGAGGTCAATTAGCAGAGGGAAGAGTTATGCCTCAAGAAAAGGGAGGGCAGTGGAAAGGAAAACTCTAGCTGGGGAGATCACGAGGAGCATGAGATAAAAGGGAGAGACAACCAGAAACGAGGTGAAAGTAAGAAGCAGGAACATAACTTAAAAGAGTAGAGAGGAGCATGACAGACAGAAGCAGGCGGTAAGGCAGACGGACACAGTTGACAGCACAGCAGGCAAGCATGGGTGGGTGGGTGCAGCAATAAGGGAGGGTGGGTGCAGCAGTAAGGATTACACTCACCCTATTCTTTTCCAACCAACATCCTCCCTTCTATCCTTAGCTGATCCACCGTTCCATCCTGCTGCCCTCAGTCCCGTCATTGCCTCCTTGCGTCCTCCCTCCAGGCACTGCACTTGCAACTGAAGTGACAAATCCACACATAAGTGGGTGTAGAAGGGATTAGTATAGAAAGAGGAACCGACCTGAAAAAATACAACTTCAACAGTAAGCAGTAGACATGAGAAGTAAGGAGTGGGCTGCGAAGAGGCAGTGACCTGATCTGGTGTGTGACTTGTGAGCTTGAAGGCGGGAGGGCAGAAGGACACAGTCGACAGCACAGCATGGCAGGCATGTGTTGGTGGGTGCAGCGAGGGGAGTCACCCACCCTGTTTGTTTCCGAACAATCCATCCATCCTCCCTTGTGTCCTCGTCCTCATCCTCCCGTGATGCATCAGAAGGCGGATCCCACTCCTCACTCGCACTGCACCTTCGTGGGACTCCTGTCAGCACATCCCTGGGCCTCAGTCAGGGAAGACACCCCAACCCAGAAAAGCCAACACAACACAGCAGCAAGCACAGAGGATAGTTCTTCAAAAGCAGCAATGGAAAAGGTATAAAGAAAAGCCATGATGGATTCTAAGACTTGCTGCACGGCGACCTAGAGTGCTTTCCCCCCCCGATAGACCCGTCAGCCACTTACTGTTGTGCAGTTGTGAACGAGATTTTCACTCTCAGACGGTGACGCCTCGGAAGGCGAATCCTCACTCCTCACTCGCACCGCACCTCAGTCAGGGATGCACACACACACACACACACACATGGGAGGAGAGACAGCCACAGAGAAGCGGCACCAACCAACAAGGGAGGGTTAGAAGGAGCACGAAGCGAGTGGCGGAGGCAAAAGCAGGAGACACGACTCTTGCCTCTTCCCGGCGACGCGCGACGACTCACCACGGCCCCCCTGCAAGCATCCCCTGGCACGTACCATGCTCTGTCCGCCGATCTGTCATGCCTTCCTCTCATTTGTGCTGCTCCAGGTTGCTCCTGGTTGCTCCAGGTTGCTCCAGGTTGCTCCAGGTTGCTCCAGGTTGCTCCAGGTTGCTCCAGGTTGCTCCAGGTTGCTTGGTTGCTGCCGCTGCCCGTGCTTGTTGGCCGTGAGGCACACGCACACATGGGAGGAGAGACAGCCACACAGAAGCGACACCAACAAAGGGAGGGAGGGTTAGAAACAGCACGAGGTGAGTGGCGGAGGCAAAAGCAGGAGACACGACTCTTGCCTCTGCGCGGCGACGCTCTATGACTCACTACACTCCCCCCTGCAGGCACTCCCTGGCACATACCACACTCTGTCTGCTGCTCTGCCACTCCTGCACCACGCCTTCCCTTCACGCCTGCTGCTCCAAGTTGCTCCAGTTTGCTCCGTTGCTCTGGCTGCCCATGCTCGCAGGCCGTGAGGCACACACACGCATGAGGAGAGAGACATGCACACAGAAACGGCACCAACAAGGGAAGGGAGGGTTAGAAACAGCACGAGGTGAGTGGCGGAGGTAAAAGCAAGAGACATGACTCTTGCCTCTGCGCGGCGACGCTCTACGACTCACTACTCTCCCCCCGGCAAGCACCCCCTGGCACGTACCATGCTTTGTCCGCCGCTCTGCCGCTCCTGCAAGCCACGCCTTCACTTCAGCCGTGCAGCTCCACGTTATCTTGTTCTTGTCGTTAATGTTGTTGCTGCTGTTGCTGCTCGGAGGGCTTTTGGCTGATCCTCCTTGCTGCTCGGAGGACAGTTCGCTGAACCACCCGTGCTGCATCCCTCCTCCCTCCCTCCTCATCACACACAGAGCGCACACGAGCAGAGACGGCAAGAGGGGATACAGATGTGTTAGAGCAGCACGGAAACAAGAAAGACGCTCGATAGCAGCAACACTAGACTCAAGACGCCTGCGTGGCGGACTCCTAAGTCCTATGCGTTCCCCCCCGCTTGCGTGCTACGGACACGCACCTTATTTAAGCCGCATCTGCTGTCGTATCATGATGTGTGCGTCGAATCCGCGCTGCTGCTGCCGATACCACCCAGTGTCTCGCAATCCGCGTTTAGCCGCTGCTGTTGGGTTAGATCTGCGACAATACTCGCACACGCACATCTTGATCCGCCACCCCTCTACTTGCTATATTCTGTGTTCCGCCACTCTTTATCCATCGCGGTTTTTCTCAAAGTGCAGAGTGCGAACGTCAACGAAACTCGGTGACCTCAGCGCAACGTAGCAAACGGTAGCGCGTCGCACAACAGCGAAAGTCGGCGAGCTCAGCGACGAAGGTAACGGTAGCGCGTCGCAGAACAGCGGAAGTCGGCGACCTCAGCGCAACGTAGCGAACGGTAGCGCGTCGTAGAACAGAGAAATTCGGCGACCTCAGCGACGTTGCTAACGGTAGCGCGTCGCAGAACAGCGGAAGGCGGCGACCTCAGCGCAACGTAGCGAGTGGTAGCGCGTCGCACAACAGCGGAAGTCGGCGAGCGGTAGGAAACTCAGCGAAGGTGAACGGTAGAAGTTCTGCGAACGGCAGCAGTTCTGCGAACGGCAGCAGCTCCGCGAATAGCGGCGACACTCGGCGAACGGCACCCATAGTCGGCAAACGGTAGCGGAACATGGCGAACGCCATGTTGCGAAGTTGGCGAACGGCAACGAATATCAGCGGCCGCGAAGTCGGCTAACTGCAGCGACACTCGGCGAAGCGCAGAAAAACTCGGCAAACGGCAGCGAAAGCCGCCGACGAACGCCATGCGAAAATGGCGAAAGGAGGAAGAGACGGCTGGATGAAATGCCGTGTGCAGAGACGGAAGTGACCAGCGTGGTAGGAGGCACTGAAGAAGATGATCATCTGGATCCCAAGTTAAGATCGCTAAGGTGGATTAGCACCGGACCCTGAAGATTCCGACTATGGCGTACGTCCTGAAAACGGATAATGGAGACCGCGAGTCTATTTTGCAACTAAGAACCGCGTACCAAGGATGCTGATCGGTCCTGCGACCTAGAAGAAAGAACCGCGTACCAAGGATGTTGATAGTCCTGCGACTTAGAACTAAGAAACCAAGGACGTTGATCGGTCCTGCGACTTAGAACTAAGAACCGTGTACCAAGGTCGTTGATCGGTCCTGCGACTTAGAACCGGCGCGTACTTCGGTTGTTAATCCATGCTGCGGCTTACAACCGCGTACTAAGGTCCTCCCGCGTCTCAAAGCCATGTAATAGGCTTGTTATCTATTCTCCGTCGTAGGACTGGAATCAGTCATAGACGAGTCGCGACTCCGTCCTCCTCATATTTCCTACTGACAAGCCTGTGTTCTCGCGTCGCTCCAGGCGCATTAATCTCTAAAATCAACAGGCGGACTATTGAAAGATATGCCGACAACGAAACTAAGAGAGTTTGGTAAGTGGAAGGAACAGAGCTCAGCTGTGTGTGCGATTGAGCCTGATGGCCAGGATGATTCAGGAAGGATGGAGTTCTGCTTGAAATGTCTGCTGAGGGTGGGAAGGCGGGTGTCAGAGACGCCACCTCTGACAACCCCGGCGAAAACCGGCGGCAATCTCGAGGCGCGAATGAAGGAGCTTGATTCTTCGTAAGAGAAATTATAAGCGAATAAGAAGAGTACAATGTAGAAAATGCACAATTCAAATAAAAATTCAGTGAAGCACTGGTAACACATTTCACACTGGCACCAGAGCTTTCGTGAACAAACTCGTAGTGAGCCGCTGTAACAGTTTCGTGAAACGGCAACATCATGCTCCGTGGATCTGTTTTCTCGGGAATTTCTGCTCTACGCCTCTCACCGTTCCCCACCCCACCCCAGCGTTCTGCGGAGCAGCTCACTTCTGTTACCGCCATTCCCACGGGGGATTTCGCTATCATGCAAGATGTGCTTGTGAGAAGGCAGGTCTTCTGTGCCCCCATACTAAAGCGGTACTAGGGTTAGTAATCTCTTTTGCGAACACCCACGGACAGCTCTTTCGCAATGACTTCCTATCACGGCGCCTGTGGCGCGGGAGGCTCGGCAGGTGATGATGGCGCTCCCAGTGCCTCGGCGGCCCGGGGTGGTGCTTCAGGCGGCGGGGAAGACGAGGCGGGAGCGATAGGGCGCGCCGCGGCAGGCGCCGCAAGGGCAGGCGAGGCCGCGTTGGATGATTTTTCGGATGCGCCGGTGGGCGAACCGCACTCGCTCTCCGCGGCGGAAACAGCAGCAGCGGCGGAAGCAACAGCAGCGGCAGGAGCGGATGGTGGTGCATCGCCTTATGCTGCCAGTGCGGGTAGCACGGGTGCTGTGAACAGCGTGGAGGAGGGGATTGAACGAGAGAGGGGGCGAGAGACAGGGGAGACAGGGCATTCTGGCGTGACAGCAGGGCCAGGAGAGGCAGGGGGAACAGGGGAGGCAGGAAGGACAGAAGAGAGAACAGAGCGTGTTTCCGAAGCTGAAAAGGTGGCTCGGGAAATGAGAGCCGCAGATGCAGCAATCAACGGCGAGGATCAGCCGCCGTTCCTGCCGGGCCTCCCAGACGACTTGGCGTGGGCCATTCTTCTCCGCGTGCCTCGGAGCAACCTGCAGGTTCTCAGGACCGTCTGCCGACGCTGGCACGACAGCCTCGGGTCCAGCCTCTACTTCCAGGCTCGGAAGAGGCTCGGGCTTACCGAGCCTTGGCTGTATGCATCGATCAGTGACTGGCAGGTGAGCATGGGGGCACACTGGTTCTGTTCAGACGTTGTGTGAATCGATGTGCAAGGCTCGTGCGGATACCCCTGCTTCCCAGTACCTAGTACTTACCAACGCACGAGTCAGTTCACTTGCGTATCCGCTTCCTTATTGTCCCATCCCCTCTCCTCCAACCCATGCAGGGTCACAACGCGTGTGTGGCGTTCGATCCGAGCAGCAGCACGTGGCACACACTGCCACCCATCCCGGGCGCCCAGCAGCGGTCGGTGCTGACACTGCAGTTCGCGGCAGTGAAGGGGCGGCTGCTGGTGGCGGGAGTGGTGGAGAGAGAGGATCCGCTCGACTCCGCCTCTGGCGTCTTCATCTACCACCCCGCCCGGTATGCACGGCTTAACCCCTCCCTCTTGCTCTCTGTTACCCCCGCCCCCCACCCCCCCCCTCTCTCTCCCCCCCCCTTCCACACACAGACACACGCACATCCATCCACACACTTACTCACACAAGCACTCTTTCTCTTACACTCTAAGCACCGCTCTGTGCCCACTCAGATCTCCCTCTCTTCCCCGTGCTTCTCCCCCTCCCCACATGTCCCTCCCCCTCCCCACGTGCCACCTCCCCCACATGCACCTCCCTGCATGCCACCTGTGCAGGAACGAGTGGAAGCGGGCGGCGGCGATCGGTACTGGGCGGTGGTTCTGCATGTTTGGCGTGGTGGGCGGGCGGCTGTACGTGGCAGGCGGCATCGGCACGTCCAACAGCCTGGCGCTGGTGGGGTCCGTGGAGGCGTATGACGTGGATGAAGACCGGTGGTGGCAGGTGAGGAGCGGTGAGGAGCGGTAAGGAGCGGTGAGGAACGGTGGACGCAGATGAGGCTGCCGTGATGCTCTCTATGGGTCAAAGACATCTTATTGTGTCTTGAGTGTCCCCTCTCACTGCCCGGCAGGTGGGAACAGCAGCAGCATCAGCACGAGCGGAGCTGATGACACTGCCAGGGTACCAGGCAGTGGTGGGGGGTTGCCTGGTGGCGAAGAACATCGGGTGGGGGCAGCGCCTGGGCGTGGCCTTCAACCCGCGCACCAACACTGTCACTGAGCTGCCCCCCGCCATGGTGCAGGTAAGGCATGCTGGATGGTGCAGTGTGGTACAACGTGGTGGAGCGATATGTGCAAGAGTGGGGTACAGGACAGTGGTGGGGCGTAGGGCAGCACCTCAGCGTGGCTTTCAACCTGCGCTGCAGCTCCGTCGCTGAGCTTCCTCCTGTCATGGTGCACGTGTGCCATACTGGGTGGTGGTGGGGTGTGGTGGGGCGTGGTGGGGCGTGGAGAGCATCAATCACTGCCCCTCCCCACTGCAGCAGTGCAGGGGCACATGGTCATAGTTGGCCTGCTGTGGTGTGGTGGCATTGAATCATTCCACTCTCCTCGCCCTTTCCCCCTTGCAGGGATGGCAGGGCCCGACAGCATCAGTACAGGGCCACATGTTTATAGTCGACTTTGGGGACGATCACAAGCTGAAGGCCTGGGACCCCCCCACACACGCCTGGACGTGGGTCCGCAAGGTTCGGCTGCCAGCCATGTCCCACAAGCCGTGGGCAGCACAGCTTGTCTGCTTCCTGGACCACATTTGTCTTGTTCTGCCGGACAGGTCTCTAGTGATGGTGCCTCTGCCGCCCCTGCTGCGATCACTGGAGCGGCAGAGGAGGAGGAGGGCGAGAGAGGGGAGGGCGAGGGTGAGGGGAGAGGAAGGGGTGGTGGCTGGTGAAGGTGGGGAAGGCACAAGTGTGTGGGGAGATGTGTGGAGTAGAGAGGAGGGGGAAGAGGTGGAGAGTGGAGACGTGTTGTTTGAAGGGGTGGGAAGGAATGACGAGGAGAGGAGTGGAATGAGTGAGGGGGAGGAGGAGGAAGAAGAGGAGGAAGGGGAGGAGGGGCATGTGGAGGAGGTAATACCGGTGAAGGTGATACCTGGGCCGGGAGGGGGAGACAAGGGTTCGGAGCTGGTGCTAACAAATGCAGTGCTGGGCTGCCAGGTGCTTGCCACATGAATGCCTCCATTGCCCAGTTCTAAGCATAGGAGGGGTTTAGGGAGTGTTGGTGGTGAGCGAATCAATAAATAGAATGCAAATGAATCTAGGTGGCAGGTCTGTGCAACCCAACCTAGCCTACAAAGTACATATACGAATACATGTGTACGCTGACTACATGTCCCTGGAAAACAAATACAGGAGAACCGTATGACATATAATTGTCCCCGAGTGCTACATGCAATTGTTTCTATGCTATGCAGCCACCATTATCCCATTAAACACTATAGGGTGTTCAGGACCACAGCCAACCAGCTATCTATTTGGGCACACATAAAGATACCATTTCTCCTTGCCTCCCACCTATGTTATCTGAACACTTCTTGTTGTGCTTCTCGAACGTTGTCCGACTGCCGCATAGATAGTGCTGCACGAGGTTTTGGCAGCGAAATGCTTGACTTTTGAGCCATCGCCACATTGACCAGCTGAAAATGTCAGATATTCCGCTCTTACACAAACATGCAGCCACGGTCAAAGGGAGAAAGAGCATGATAAGTAGAGAAATATGAGCATTGAATTTTGCGGCGACTTACACGACCACAGCCCCATCTACCATACCAGACCCCGGCCCAGCACCAGTACCATTCCCAGCAAACGTAATGCACCCCATCCACCCATTTTCTCACGGGTTCATTCGGTAGAGCTCCACCATGGAGATTTTATTCGGATTCACCAGATCCTTGCAGCCCTGCTTGTCTTTTATAGACGCCGCCTTGAGACAACTGGGTATTCTGCGTGAAGTTGTAACGTCTTGCTCGATGCAAAGGGAGCGGGAGGTGTTGAGAGGCGAGGAGGAGCAACTGATGTTGGGTTAAGCGCCTCCAGCGTGCCTTCCTTTAATTTAAGGATTTTTTCGACTGTGGAGCAGGTGTCCCCCTGGTGGATAGGGAAGTCTCAAACAGTGAACGCAACGGAATGATTGGAATAGAAACGAATGGGGTACAAATAAGCAACCCTAGAAGCTGTACCCCCTAGAGTGCAACTCACTACAGCCTATCACATCAATGTGCAACATTTGACACACCCCCATAGGCTAAGTGAGGGGCATCAAAGCAAGCAAGGTGAACAAACGGTCACAAGACCAGTCAAAGCAAGAACCAAGGCAAGCTCAGGGTGGATCTCAAGGACACCACACAAATTCCGAGCGCAAGCAAGCGGCCACAAGGCCAGTTCAAGAGTTCACTGTTAACGGGAATGGAGTGTTGGCCCCGCCCTCGCTTGGGCAACGCCGACGACTTGGTCGGATGCACGGGAGTAGCAGCCGACTGTTCACAGTGGGATAGCTGCTCGACAGGTTACGTCGAGCGGCAGCGGACCGCTGTGGTGTTGCTGTCGACCAGGGTGCTCGACAGCTGCAACTGACTGGCCTGGGCGACGGGTGAGCCGTCCGGGAGGTTGACGAAGCAGTCCGTCGACCTACAGTTTGACGGGGAGGTCCACGGAGCATCCCGTCGAACTGCAGTTCGACCGGGAGGTCGACGGAGCAGTTCTGGTCGACGGAAGGGGTCCGTCGACCAAGGGGTAGCTTGACGGGAGGTGTGGTCGACCAGGAGCATCCGGTGGTCGACCAGAGAGACCCAGTGGTCGACGGGAGGCACCTGGGAGTCGACCAGAGCACCAGGGGTCGACCAGGTCGACCGGGTAACCTGCTCGACGAGTTCTGCGGAGGCACGCGAATGCCGTCGAGATCGCGATGGCGCAGGCGACTTCGGGCTGGTATCCCGAAGTCGATGTGGCTCGTCAGGCGCAGACAACAGCCGACGGATGCCCAACGAGGCAAGTCGGACCAATCGTCTGCGCACACCTGCGAGCGCGCGCACTGCTGTGTTCTACGGGGCACGCCGTCGACCTGCTTTGTTGGCAGGTCGCCCTTCTGCAGTGCTGTCGCAATGCTGGCAGGCGGTCGACCGAGCTGCGCTGGCAGTCGACCAGGCTAGCTGCAGGGTTGCTAGGTGCCTGATGTAGTCATTGTTGTCATTGCTTCTTTGATTCAATTCTGTAATTCCAACTTTGCTAGTGGAAACTCTTGCCAATTTCTCCTGTGAATGTGCAAGCACTAAGGAACCAAGCAAAGCTGAGATCACCTCTAGTAGTTCGTGCCAACCCTGTAGTCTAGCTCACTGCCGTTGTAAAGTGAATCTCCGCATGGTGCGGTGAGCGTGGATCGAACACGCGACCTTCAGATAGGAGCCGACTTTTGCACCTACTAAGTCGTTCGTAGGCCGGCAGCAACGATAGTCGCCATGGTCGACCCCGTAGTTGATGCGGGTGTAGCTGACACTTTGGAGGCACGTTTGGCTGACGCGAGGAGACGCCACGCGAATGGCGAGTACGGGACGATCCCCTTAGTGATCGCCGAGTTGGGCATCCGGTCGCAGTGGGCGACGGAACACCCTTCCCGTCCTGCTTCTCCTCGACCGGTGCGCAACGAAGGTGGCGTCGACGACGAGGTCGACGGTGGTGCACGAGTCAGCGGCAGCGAAGGCACGAGGCATAGAGGAGTGATCAAGGTCGACGGTGGTGTCGACGGAATCCAGGCGCGAGTGCAGCGGTCGACGGCGGCTGCAGGCAGCTCGCACGCCGACGTCGATGTTCGACGTCGCTCTCCTCTACGAAGTGGTGGTGGGCTCTCGGCGACGACGCATGTGACGGCGGGCGGGATTGCACCGGCGTATGGCTATTTCAAGTTTTCGCCGGATCGAATCACCGTCGCTCCGCTGCAAGGTCGACGGGACCTCATCACCTGGAGGGAGTCGATCGAACCTCAGCTGGAGGTCGCCGGGCTGAAGGGCTTCGCCGACGGCACCGTGCCAATTCCGCCCGAGGAGGATGTCGGGCTGCGCGGGGAGTTTCGTTCTGCTCACCTGCTCACCTTCATGGTCATCTCGAGGTGCTGCTCGCCGGTGGTACAGCTGGCGCTCAGGAGCTGTCGAGAGCGACTGGATGCTGGTCACCAGGCATGGCGCTTCATCATATCGACGTACCAGGTCAGGGACGACCTGTACATCGGGCAGCTGGAGGAGAAGATGACCCACATTCGGATGGGCGAGCAGGAGTCGGCGACGGATTACTGCAACCGTGCTCGACGGATCCTGGCTGAAATGCGAATGGCAGGCGCCGAATACTCGACGGCGTCCTACATCACCCACATCGTCAAGGGCTTGCCGCGCAGCTACAATCTCATGAAGAGGATGATAATGGTGTCAGAATATTATTCTTATGTTCTAGCCTGTAGTGGGGTGCTCTATAGCGAGTACAACCCTTCTAGGGTTTGCTATTTGTATCCCCATTTCTGCTAGTTCATTCCTCTTTCTTTCTTCTAATTTTGTCATGCTATCAGAGCAGGTCGATCCCCTTGGATCGATCCTGTGGGTGGGTTTCCACCTCGCTTCCGCTGCTACCTTTCCTTCCCGCCGTGCGCCCCGAGGCGCGCGGCGGTTTTCCTTCCCGCCGTGCGCCCCGAGGCGCGCGGCGGTTTTCTGCCCGCCGTGCGCCCCGGGGCGCGCGGCGGTTCTTTGCCCGCTGTGCGCCCCGAGGCGCGCGGCGGGCGTCTGCCCTACCTTCGCGGGCGTCCGCCCTACGTCGCGGCCCCGCCCTACGTCGCGGCCCCGCCCTGCGTCGCGGCCCCGCCCCTCGAAGCGGCCCTGCCCTACGTCGCGGCCCCGCCCCGACCGTCGCGGCCCCGCCCTACGTCGCGGCCCCGCCCTGTGTCGCGGCCCCGCCCCTCGAAGCGGCCCTGCCCGACCGTCGCGGCCCCGCCCCTCGTCGCGGCCCCGCCCCTCGTCGCGGCCCCGCCCCTTGTCGCGGCCCCGCCCTCCAACCAGGCCCGTGGTGGGCCCCTTTCACCACACCGCCTCCCCCCCCCCCCCCCCCCCCCCCCCCCCCCCTCCCCCTGCCATTTCCCGTCGTCCGTCGAGGCGACCTGAGGGGGCCGCGGCGAGCTGTGGGGTGGCGGGTATGGGGGTGCTCGGTGTGCCTTCCTCCCTTTGCTCCTCCTCCTTCGTCTCCCACTGCTGCAGCTGTCGCTGAGGGGGGTGGTTGTGTGGGAGACTCGGGTTTAGGGTTTAAGGGGGGTGCGTGGGAGTGCAGCTAGCGGTGTAGCAGTGGGTGTGCATCAGGGGGGTGGGACTGTGTGCGGGAGGTTGAGTGGAGGTTGTCAGTTTGTCGTT